GAAATTCACACCCATTTGGCACCCTGGAAGGCTGCCTTCAGGCTGAAGAAGTTTCCTCACCCCTAACGCAGAGTTTTAACCAACTACTCAAGAGGGATTCCCAAATCGCCATGTTTGGTCACATCGTATCTCTTTCTTCCGAAGCCCCCCGCAATTTAATATATATACTCTCCTCCTCCCCCAGCATAAGCGAGAAGCAAGTCCCCAAATGCCAGGCTGTATATCTGTGTCACAATGCGAGAAAGATAGACTGGGAGGGACGGGGAAGAGAAATTATCCCAGAACTCATTTTGCAGGAGAGGGTTGGGGGGGGGGCGAGAAAGAGTTAGAGATGAGAGATGGATAAATGGAGGAAGAGAGAGTTATGGTAAGGTGGAGGAGGGGGGAAAAAATAGATGCCAACACAGAAAAAGCCGGCTGGGGGTTTAAATAACAGGAGGGAGCGACAGCTACATGGAACGCAACAGATGCATGGCTCGGAAGATTTGTGCTCCTGTCATCTCTGGGATGCATTTTCTGCAGTCTTGCTTTAGAAAGAGCAGAGGAGGTCGAGGCTCACACATCATCTACCTACGGGCACCAACCGGGATGGCTTTCAAAGAGGATTAGATAAATTCATGCAGGAGAGGGCTATCAGTGGCTACTAACCATGATGGCTATGTTCTGCCTCCAAAGTCTGAGACAGCAATGCTTCTGAATACCAGAAGCTGGAAACTCCAGGAGGGGAGAGTTCTGCTGTGCTTGGGTTTCCCATAGTTGGCACTGTGAGAACAGGATGTTGGACTACATGGGCCATTAGCCTGACCCTGCAGGTGCTTCTTATGCCATTGAGTTTTTAATAATAAATAATAATAAATTTTATTTATACCCCGCCCTCCCCAGCCAAGAACAGGCTCAGGGCGGCTAACACCAGGTATAAAAACAATTGATTGAAATACAACTTAAAAACAAGATTAAAATGCAACATTAAAATGCAGCCTCTTTTCAGTAGGAACTCAAATCAAAAACTTTTTGGAGGATGAAAACGTCAAGTCTTCACCAAGGCCAACTATCCAGACTGGTCCTACATGGGCCAGAACAAAAGCCAGGGAAGTCCCCAAATAGGAGTTTCATCACAGAAGGAGAAAGGAAAAAGGAAAGAGGGGGAGGGGATCAAGTTGATTCCAAGCCAAAGGCCAGGCAGAACAACTCTGTCTTACAGGCCCCGCAGAAAGAAATCAGATCCCGCAGGGCCCTGGTCTCATGAGACAGAGCCTTCCACCAGGCCGGAGCCAGTGTTGAAAAGGCCCTGGCTCTGGTTGAGGCTAATCTGACTTCCTTAGGGCCTGGGACTTCTAGGGTCTTACTATTTATGACCTTAAGGTCCTCCGTGGGGCATACTGGGAGAGGCGGTCCCGTAGGTACGAGGGTCTTGGGTAGGTCCTGAAGCTATTGCTCCCCTGCGAGCCTCTCTCTTTTAGAATCTTCCTGTATTCCAGGCACTTTCTAATGAGCAAAGTGACATCCTGTTTAGCTCATCATCAGCCACTGACACCATCCATAAGGGACAGACGATGTGTCATGTTAGCCAAGACAATTATTGCACGAGTCCTTCTGTCTGGACACCGCAGCCTCCCCAATGAATGCCCGATGGCGCTATCCACTCCTGATGCGATGCCAGTAACCTTCGCCGCTCCCCTAAATCATCCCTTGAGCACACCCGCGCTCCCTGGACCATGAAGTCACACATCATGACCAATTAAAGGTGCCGTCTGGAGGAAGGAAACTTTACCTAATGCCGAAGACTGCTAAATTTAGAACCAACCAACAGGGGAGGTGTAAACCATCCCACCTGACCTAGGAGATGTCAGAATCTAATTATGTCACTGCCAGATTCCCCCCTCCCCAGCACCAATCAGGGCAGACAGAGGAGAAAGTCAGCAGACAAGAAAAGTCAGTGTTGTCTATCAAATGGAGCATTACCTTTCTTTCTTTCTCTCTTCCCTCCCGTCCAACCACAAATGCCAATTCCAATTTAACATCTCCCCTGCAAGATTTCAAAGGAAAGATCTACAGGAGAAACTGTGATGTATGCTCTCAGGAGCAGCCGCTGATATCGGGAAGCATGGGGAGATTGTATTCCCCGTGGTTCCCTGTGTCAATGAACGCCGCCATCGAAGTTTTCAGCAACACCTGGCCTTTAATTGCGGAGGCTAGATTTCCACGGACCCACTCTGGAATAGGCTCCTGTCCCAAGGTAAATTGGAGAGGTGGTAATGAAGGCTGATCGCCGAAGAACTGATGCTTTTGAATTATGGTGCTGGAGGAGACTCTTGAGAGTCCCATGGACTGCAAGAAGATCAAATCTCTCCATTCTTAAGGAAATCAGCCCTGAGTGCTCACTGGAAGGACAGATCCTGAAGCTGAGACTCCAATACTTTGGCCACCTCATGAGAAAAGAAGACTCCCTGGAAAAGACCCTGATGTTGGGGGAAATGAGGGCACAAGGAGAAGGGGACGACAGAGGATGAGATGGTTGGATAGTGTTCTTGAAGCTACCAGCATGAGTATGACCAAACTGCGGGAGGCAGTGGAAGACAGGGGGTGCCTGGCATGCTCTGGTCCATAGGGTCACGAAGAGTCAGGCACGACTAAATGACTAAACAAGAACAATGGTGGAGAAGAGGAGGTTTGGGGTCAGAGTAGCTGCCAAGCAGACGTCTTCCTATCTCAGCTGATGTTTCGGAATGAAGACAGATGACATTCAGTGAAGAAGGCTGCAACACCTTGAGAGCAGTAAGGCTTGTCTGGGACTGCCCTCAATTCACATGTGCCTTTTTCCAACTCTGATTTAGCGTGGGGCTGTATACTCGGCTCCAGAAAACCTGCAGCTGAAGCTGTTGTGCACTGACTGGCTAGCACCCGGGATGTCACCCCAAAAATGACACACAAACACACCAACCCAGCTCTAAAGCAGCTTTTTCAGTTTCAAGTCTTCATTAAAACTAGGATGAATTGATAACAGAGATATGATTCTTTTCAAAATCACAGAGGGGCAGACCACCCACTTTTTGGGGAAGCTGGTGGCCGAACCACACTCCTGTCAATCAAATTGCTAAGTCAAGTTCACACAGCAGAGAGGGTCCTCATCATATATATTCCCACATACTCTCTCTGCACAGCTTTTTCTCAGCTGTCATGCAGATTTTGCATCCCATCTTAGCAAAGCATGAAACTCCCTAGATATGTCCCAGGAATCCCATTCGCATGCTTTCATCTTCCCTTAGATATGCACGGCAGACCTCACCACCACCACCAAAAAAAGGGAGAACGTGGCTCTGTTACTTGCATGGAGACCCAGGGGAGGGGCAGTGCATTAGGGAAAATGGGGCAATGCCCCCACCTGCCCGCCTTCTTACTTACAACCAGTCTGGGGAAAGGTGGGGGGCTGCCTGCCTGTTTCCTCCTCCTTAGACCACAACTGCACCATCCATTTAAAGCACTAAGGTACCACTTTAAAGGGCCATGACTTACCCCAAAGAATTATGGGAGCTGCAGCTTGTTTAGAAAGTGTGTAGAAAGTCAGCAGGGTCTGGTGGTTAGAGCAGGGGTCGGCAAGGCTTACCTTGCCTGGGCCAGTTCACTCTAGCAGAGATCCCTCTGTGGACTGGATTGCACGTGCGGCCGCAATTTCCGGTGTCTGCGCAGACATGACTTCCAGTGTCCGCATCTGCACAGACACGATTTTCTGCATCTGCGCAGATGCGATTTCCGGCATCTGAGCATGTGCAGATGTGATTTCTGGCACCACAGAAGCGAGTCCCTGTGCCACGCTGTGCTGGTTTAGCGCAGCATGCTGGGACTCGCCAGAAGGGTGGCTTGGTTCGGGGGTGACTCGTGGGCTGGTTAAACGACCCCCGTGGGCCGCTTGTGGCCCTTGGGCCTTAGGTTGCCTACCCCTGGGTTAGTGTCAAATGAAGAACTGGGAGAGACCAGGGTTCGAATCCCCACTCATCCACATAGTTATGATTCCCAGACTGGTTTGTTTGTTTCATTTATATCCCGCTCCCCTCCTCCAAGGAGCTCTCCCTTTCTTTTCATTTAATCCCCACAACAACCTTGTGAGGTAGGTTAGGCAGAGAGAGAGAGAGAGAGAGAGAGAGAGAGAGAGAGAGAGAGAGAGATTGGCCCAATATCACTCAGTGAGCTGCATGGCCAAGTGAGGATTCGAACCCTGATCTCCTAGGTCCTAGTCTGACACTCCAACCACTACGCCACACAGACAATCTCTCTTCACAGGGAACTCTGGTAATTTTAGTTCTGGGAGGGAGGGGAGGCTCTTGACAAATCTCAGCACCCTAAACATTCCACAGTTCCCAGAAGTCTCTGGGGGAAGCTATGACTGTTTAAAAGTGATACTACAGTGCTTTAAAGGGATGGTGTGGATGTGGTCTCCGTCTCAGTGTTGCCCTAGAGATCAGTGGGGAGGAAGAAGAGGGTGTGGACGAAGCTTGGGTTCATTGCATCTGCCTGCTATTGCCTCTGGCGCCACCTGCTGTTGGGCTCCGTCCCTACCGCCAAACCAGCTCCATCCATCACCAGCGAACACCGATAGATTCAAGGAGAGCACCTCCATTAAGACACAGCCAAGCCCTCTGCAGCATCTACAAGGGGGAAGATGCAGCGTAGGAAGGAAAAAATAAACATTTAATGCAGCAACGCGATGTTGCCTGCGGAGGGGAAGGTGGAAAATCCACAGTGGGTGATGATTTTATTCCCTGAAGCATAAGATTTGATTGCTCTTAATGTCTCCTAACTTGCACAGCTACAAATGTTATGGGCAGGCGTTAAACATTCCAGGGCTCGTTTTGGAAGCCAGGCGTGGCGTCGCCACACTGACCTCTCAACCCAATCCCTTCAAATTCGACTGAAGAAAGCATTAGCCCCCTACTCCTTTAACCAAATGTAAATATTCTGTACAGTCCCTGGGAAGGGAAATAAAAGCAATCTCAGCTTGGGTTGCCTGGGAAGGGCCATAGCTCAGTTGGTAGAGCATCTGCTTTGCATGCAGAAGGAGCCTGGTTCGATCCCCAATGACATCTCCAGGTACAGATGTCAAGGAAATAAGCAACCATCTGACTTTCTGTAGACATCTGAAGGCAGCCCTGTACAGGGAAGTTTTTAATGTTTGATGTTTTACTGTGCTTAATGAGTTTAATTTGTTTGAAGCTGCCAAGAGTGGCAACCCAGTCAGATGAGCAGCAAGCAAGCAAACAAACAAACAAACAAGCAAATACAGTGGTACCTCGGGTTAAGAACTTAATTCGTTACGGAGGTCCGTTCTTAACCTGAAACTGTTCTTAACCTGAAGCACCACTTTAGCTAATGGGGCCTCCCGCTGCTGCTGCGCCGCCGGAGAACGATTTCTGTACTCATCATGAAGCAAAGTTCTTAACCCGAGGTACTATTTCTGGGTTAGCAGAGTCTGTAACCTGAAGCGTATGTAACCCGAGGTACCACTGTAAGTAAGTAAGTAAGTAAATAAATAAATAAAAAATTGTTGTTGTTGTTCTTATTATTATTATTTGGCAGGTAAAAAGGTAAAGGTAAAGGACTCCTGGAAGGTAAAGTCCAGTCAAAGGCGACTATGGGGTTGTGGCACTCTTCTCGCTTTCAGGCCAAGGGAGCCGGTGTTTTTCCACAGACAGCTTTCCGGGTCATGTGGCTGGCATGACTAAACCGCTTCTGGTACAATGGGACACCGTGATGGAAACCAGAGCGCACAGAAATGCCGTTTACCTTCCCGCCACAGTGGTACCTATTTATCTACTTGCACTGGTGTGCTTTCGAGCTGCTAGGTTGGCAGGAGCTGGGACAGAGCAACAGGAGCTCACCCGGTCGCGGGGATTCAAACCGCCAACCTTCTGATTGGCAAGTCCTAGGCTCTGTGGTTTAGACCACCGCGCCACACTGCACTCAGTGGACCAAGTCTGTCTTGGTATGAGGCAACGTCCTATGTACAGGACAGTTGAGAGCAAATGGGGTCTTTCAAAAATTATTGGACTCCCCTGCTGCCCTTGACCACAGGCCCATTCTAGCTCAAAATGATGGGAATTATTGGACCCCAGGAACAACAGGTTACACTTTGGAACTCCTTGCTTATTAATATCCAGCCTTTGCTGCAATCTTTTCGGTGCCTGCCAAAAGCATTTTTGCTTAGGCAAGAAGTTGACGAGGGTTTTAATCTGTTGCTATCTTTTCAAAAGTCTTAAACTGCTGCTGTTGTTTCCCCCCCACCCCAAGTAATAATTTTATTGCTTTCTCTTGTTTCGTCAGCTGTTTTGTGGAGAGGGGCTGGGGTTTCACTTTTGCAATGAAGCGGTGTATAAATCATACAAAAAATAAAAAATAAACCCTGACTTCAGCTGCATAGCTCAGCTGGCTAGAGCGTGGTGCTGATAACGGCGAGGTTGCAGGTTTGAGACCCATATGGGACAGCTGCATATTCCTGCATTGCAGAGGTTTGGACTAGATCAGTGTTTCTCAGCCTGTGGGTCCCCAGATGTTGTTGGATTACAACTCCCATCATTCCTAGCCAGCATGACCAGTGGTCAGGGATGATGGGAGTTGTAGTCCAACAACATCTGGGGACCCACAGGCTGAGAACCGTGGGACTGGATGATCCTCAGGGTCCCTTCCAAGTCTAGAATTCTATGATGTAACATTTGCTGCAGAAAACAGCTGGCAATACGGCTTCTGTGGATCTCCCTCTTTCCTCTCCGCCCCCCCCCCCGGAGATTGCCTCCTTCCCCACCCTTGCCAACTGGGCCTCTTGCCTCATTACCAAGAGGCTTGTAAGTTTAAAGCTGCAGAGATTGAACAAGAGGCAGCGCCTGGGAGGTTTTCCGCTTTAATAGGGGGCTTTGGGGCTAATCTGCAGGCAGAGAGCCATCTTCTTCTTCCCAGGTGATTTAATGGAGGATCCAGGGCCAGGAGGCAGAAAGAGTGGAGGAACAAATTAACAGAGCTGGGGAGAGGGGGGAGAGTGAAGAGGAGGAGAAGAGGAATTAAGAGGAATGAGCCATGAAGGAGCTGAATCGGAGCCTCTGTACATAAACCACTTGGGTGCAAAAAGATGCTTGGTGATGGATAGCTGGGGTGAGATTTAACTATCTGTCCTAGAATAATACCATTGTAGAGCTGGAAGGGGTCTCCAAGGGTCATGTAGTCCAACCCCCTGCAAGGTTGTTTCCTCCTGCTCTGGAGGGTAGGACTCGAACCAATGGCTTCAAGATAAAGAAAGGAGATTCCGACTAAACATCAGGAAAAAAACTTTCTGGCAGTAAGAGCTGTTTGGACAGTGGAACGGTCTCCCTCGGGAAGTGGTGGGCTTTCTTCCCTTAGAGGTTTTTAAGCAGACGTTGGATGGCCATCCGTCATGGATGCTTTAGCTGAGATTCCTGCGTTGCAGGGGGTTGGACTAGATGACCCATGGGGTCCCTTCCAAGTCTATAATTCATGGGTAGGCAAACTAAGGCCTGGGAGCCGGATCTGGCCCAATCGCCTTCTAAATCTGGTCCGCGGACTGTCCGGGAATCAGCATGTTTTTACATGAGTAGAATGTGTGCTTTTATTTAAAATGCATCTCTGGGTTATTTGTGGGGCATAGGAATTCGTTCATTATTTCCCTCAAAACAATATAGTCCGGCCCCCCACAAGGTCTGAGGGACAGCGGGCCGGCCCTCTGCTGAAAAAGTTTGCTGACCCCTGCAACAATTCTATGATCCAGAAACAAGGATCATAGTAGCCGATGGGCAATGTGAGGATGCCTTGCTTCACCAAAGGAAGATTTGGGAGTTTGCTTGAAGCTCTCAATTCCTTTGAAGCCAGGTTGGGACCTGCCCCACCCCTGATGGAAACACAGCAATGTAGTGGAGGGGGTTCAGAAGGGAGAGCAACTTCAGGACTCCCTCCACACAGAGCAGAAGAGTGGACATAAATCACTGCAACAGCAGGGCAACTGATGACTCTCCCCTACTCTGGCAAGCCAATGTGGAGATAGCAAGGCTTTCAAGTTCCCCCCTTGTTTGCAAAATATCGGCACAGCTTATCATTTTATGACAACCCACTTGTGGCGATCACACAAGGTCCCCGGACGTTTAACGATCTATTGATCCCTGTGCCACCACTGTGCTCGCTTCCCCGCTGCCACCAACCAGTTACTCTCTGGTAAAACACTGAGTCCAGTCAGTTGTTAAAAGTGAACCAAAAGAAGAAGAAGAAGAAGAAGTTTATTTTACAAACATTAACAAGTTTATGGTTTCTCAGATAATATTCCTGTCAGTATCTTAACTTTAGTTTCTTAACCGGTCTAAGATCAAACCTATCCATTCTTAAGGAAATCAGCCCTCAGTGCTCACTGGAAGGACAGATCCTGAAGCTGAGACTCCAATACTTTGGCCACCTCATGAGAAGAGAAGACTCCCTGGGAAAGACCCTGATGTTGGGAAAGGAGAAGGGGACGACAGAGGACGAGATTGTTGGTCAGTATTCTCGAAGCTACCAGCATGAGTTTGACTAAACTGCGGGAGGTGGTGGAATACAGGAGTGCCTAGCGTGCTCTGGTCCATGGGGTCACGGAGAGTTGGACATGACTAAATGACTAAACAACAACCTTCCTAACACCTTCTGACTGATTATCTCAACTGTTTGACTGACTCCTCTTAACAAATTCTCTCACTCTCTCACACCAGACTAGCACAACCCACAGACTTATCTTCTCGTCTCGTCTAACTCCAGACTGTCTCCTCAACAACTCTAACTCCCTAAAAAACCTCTGTGCTTAAACCTTATACACAGTTAACTCTGCCCCCTGGGTTCCCATTGGTTAGTCATTTTACCTTTCCCTATGAACCCAGTAGGGACGCGGGTGGTGCTGTGGGTTAAGGTCCTACAGAGCCTAGGACTTGCCAATCAGAAGGTCGGCGGTTTGAATCCCCGCGATGGGGTGAGCTCCCGTTGTTCTGTCCCTGCTCCTGCCAACCTAGCAGTTCGAAAGCATGTCAAAGTGCAAGTAGATAAATAGGTACCGCTCTGGCAGGAAGGTAAACAGCCTTTCCGTGTGCTGCTTTGGTTCGCCAGAAGCGGCTTAGTCATGCTGGCCACATGACCTGGAAGCTGCACGCCGGCTCCCTTGGCCAATAAAGCGAGATGAGCGCCGCGACCCCAGAGTCGGTCACGACTGGACCTAATGGTCAGGGGTCCCTTTCCCTTTCCCTATGAACCCAGTATGATGTCACACACATAGCACGGCAAACTCCACATCACTGTTCCTAATAAACTGGGTATTGAATTGGGCATCACTGCTCTGTCTACCTCTGTATGCATCAAGGCAGCAGGCTGTGATTTGGGGTTGGGGTTGGGATAGGCACAGGGGCAGCCACGGTGAGATCCTGCACTTCAGACTCTTGCACTGCGGAAGCAACTCAGGAAGGGCACGGCTAAGTCTCAACACAGTGCAACTTCTGCGGCCCCTGCTCTATTTTATGAGGATGTTTTAAGACAGAAAGGTCTCTCCCAGGAGCTCCTTGGTTAATTACCTCATTCGGTCCAGACCTGGCTTTCCATTATGGGATGAATTATTCTCTTTTCCTGCTGAGGCAGCTGGTATGGGGAGAATGGGGTCACCAGCCTTCCTTTGAAACCCAAGGGCAATTGAGATGATGTGGGAGGGAGGGAGAGCCATTGAAGGAGAAGAGGGGTGGTGGTAGGAAATGACTGTGAACACTCACAGCACCAGGGAGGTAGTGAGGAGGGGGAAGAGGAAATGGGCATTTCCTGATTTGTGGACTGGCTTGAAAGACCCCCCCCCAATTAACATGTCTCAGAATGCCGAAGATACGAGGCTGCACTTTCTATTTATACTGACAGCCCACCCTACGAGCTGACCTACATATCCAGCAGAATTGCATGCTGCAGCACTAACAGTTATGGAATCACAGAGCTGTCGAGTCGGAAGGGTCACCCAAAGGCCATCTAGTCCTGCTCCCTGCAACACAGGAACTGCAGTTAAAGAACCCCCGACAGGTGGCCATCCAATCTCTGCTTAGCAACCTCCAAGGAAAGAGAGGCTACCACCTTCATGTGGTGCAGTCGGTCAGCATGTCTGGCTGTTAATCAGAAGTTTGATGGTTCGAGTCCACCCAGGGATGGTTGTGGGCAGCATTCCTGCATTTTTGGGGGTGGGACTAGAGGACCCTTCCAACTCTACAATTCTATAATAAATAATAATAATAAACTTTTATTTATATCCCGCCCTCCCCAGCCGAAGCAGGGCTCAGAGCGGCTAACAACAGTAAAAATAGCACAATTTACATAAAATCACAATCAAATAATTAAAATACATTCTAAAATAAATTCAGAATCAGTTTAATGGCAATCATTGGGCTAGAGTTCTATGAGGATTACAGAAAGATGGGGTCAGACTGGGCCTTGGCCAAAGGCCTGGTGGGACAGCTCTGTCTTGCAGGCCCTGCGGAAAGATGTCAAGTACCGCAAGGTCCTAGTCTCTTGTGACAGAGTGTTCCACCAGATCAGGGCCATGGCCAAAAAAGCCCTGGCTATGGTTGAGGTCAGCCTAACCTCCCTGTGGCCCAGGATCTCCAAGATGTTTTTATTTGAAGTCCGTAAGGTCCTCCGTGGGACATAGCAGGAGAGGCGGTCCCGTAGCTATGATTCTAAGCGAGTTTGCTCCACTCTCAAACAGCTCTCACCATCATAAAATCTTCCTGATGTTGAGTTGGAATCTCCTTCCTTGTCATTTGAATTCATTGGTTTTTGTCCTACCCTCTGGAGCAGCAGAAAACAAGCTGGCTCTGCCTTGTATATGACAGCTTTTTGGCAATGAGAAGATGGCTATTGCGTTACATCAGCCTTCCCTTCTCCAGGCTAAACATACCCAGCTCCCTCAACCATTCCTCATCTAGCTCAGTTTCCATATCCTTGATCATCTCGGTCACCCTCCTCTGCGCATGTTCCAGCTTGCCAACATCCTTCTTACATTGTGGTACCCAGAAGTAGACACAGGACTCCAGGTGGCATCTGTGGTAATAGAGTGGAATAGAGAGGTAAAATAGGGATGCGGGTGGCGCTGTGGTCTAAACCACTGAGCCTAGGGCTTGCCGATCAGAAGGTCGCTGGTTCGAATCCCCGCGACGGGGTGAGCTGCCATTGCTTGGTCCCTGCTCCTGCCAACTTAGCAGTTCAAAAGCACGTCAAAGTGCAGCGGGAAGGTAAACGGCATTTCTGTGCACTGTTCTGGTTCGCCAGAAGTGGCTTTGTCATGCTGGCCCGTAGACTGTCTCGCCAGAGTGGTGCATGCTCTAGTTATCTCCTGCTTGGACTACTGCAATGTGCTCTACGTGGGGCTACCTTTGAAGGTGACCCGGAACCTACAACTAATCCAGAATGTGGCAGCTAGGCTGGTGACTGGGAGTGGCTGCCAAGACCACATAGCACCAGTCTTGAAGGACCTACATTGGCTCCCAGTACATTTCCAAGCACAATTCAAAGTGTTGGTGTTGACCTTTAAAGCCCTAAACGGCCTCGACCCAGTATACCTGAAGGAGCATCTCCACCCCCATCGTTCTGCCCAGACACTGTGGTCCAGCGCCGAGGGCCTTCTGCCAGTTCCCTCACTGCAAGAAGCAAAGCTACAGGGAACCAGGCAGGGGGCCTTCTCAGTAGTGGCACCTGCCCTGTGGAACGCCCTCCCATCAGATGTCAAAGAGATAAACAACTACCTGACATTTAGAAGACACCTGAAGGCAGTCCTGTTCAGGGAAGTTTTTAATGTGTGACATTTTAATGTATTTTTAATCTTTGTTGGAAGCCGCCCAGACTGGCTGGGGAAACCCAGCCAGATGGGCGGGGTACAAATAATAAATTCTTATTATTCTTATTATTCTTATTACCCGGAAGCTGTATGCCGACTCCCTTGGCCAGTAAAGCGAGATGAGCGCCGCAACCCCAGAGTTGTCTGCGACTGGACCTAACAGTCAGGGGTCCCTTTACCTAACAGCAGACTGTAATGCTCGTTTCCCACCACTAGGTGACACATGCCCAACACATCTGACAGGCATTTAGCAGCTCCTAGTGGCAAAACGCAAAAAAAAAGCCCCAGAAATGCAGCCAGACAGCTTGTCAGGGGTGCAGCTTCACATCAAAATTGGCCTGTGGCCAGATAGCACCTCCAATTATTTCCCACCGTGTGCAGAGGCGAACGCACTGTTGTCTCGGAGATGGAACGTGCTCCTTGTAGTAGACTTCGCTAAAGGTTACGGCAGGCTGTTCTCCCCCGATATATCTTCACTTCTATTAAGGCCGATTTGTAGGTTCAAATGCCTCTGAGGAGGAGGACAGCCGCCCATGGGGAAAGTGTGACCTCATTTATTGCCATGTCTTTCGACAAGGTTGAAGACTTTTACTGAGGAAGCCATGTGGGAGACAGAGACCTGTTCCTATCTCTAAAGGTCATGTACACGGCTTATTTTTAAACAGCCAGTGCCCCCTTAGACATGCATCTTACTTGGCAAAAGACCCACCTGCTTCCTGACCCCCAACAATACAAAACATCAAACAACCCACTTTCCTCCCTCTCTCCCTCCCTCCCCATATTTGTAATGGCAGAGTTCATATTGGGGCATTTGTTTCTACCCAGAGTAAAGGCAGGTTAGACCTTGCTTTCAATTCCAGAGCTATAAATCCTAGCAATGCAAAGGCCATGCCTCTGTGCATATCTAGAGTGTGCACTACATTTACAATGCACAGTCTCTGAGCCTCACACACTACAGGCAAACATTTCAAGGTCACAGGGATTCATGGACCAGGCAATAGTTCCAGGAAGGGCTGGGAGAGGGCCCCTGGCAGAGCCACATCTAGTCAGTGCTGATACTGCTGTGCTAGGTATACCTGTCAGGAGTCCAGGTTCCCAGCTTGATAACACAGTAAGCGTAGGTAATTAAAAAGGAGGATTCATTGCAAAAACAAACAGATAGCTCCAGGCGGCTCTGAAAAAGCCTTCAGCATCATTATTCAAGATGACCCTTCTGAAGACTCCTTCCGGCGTCAACAGAAGATATTGAACTTACGACCCTTACATCTCTTGTTTTGCTTCCAATCTAGCAGCCCTCCCATTCACCGACTTTTCGGACTTAGTGGATCAGCTCCAACCTCTTCCTGTTCTGAGAGGTTGTCTCTGAATCTATTCGCTCCTATTTGTGCTTCCTGTGAGCTTTGGCTGTGTTCTAGCCTGCTCTCAGCTACTGCCTTATCAGCCTGCCTATCAAGGTCAGGAAGAGCCTAAGTCTGAAGCGGCCAGCTCTCGCCTGCCTGCAGAGACGTAAGGGTAGTAAGTTCAATATCTTTTGTCGACACCGGAAGGAGTCTTCAGAAGGGTCATCTTGAGTAATGATGCCGAAGGCTTTATCAGAGCTGCCCGGAGCTATCTGTTTGTGTTTGCAATAAATCCTCCTTTTTAATTTAATTAGGGTTAGTGGCGCCCTGTGCCACGGTGCCCGCCCATCAGGGGCGCCCATCAGCTGGAGTGCAGGATCAAAAGGGAACAGCTGCGAGGACATGCTGGGCAGCGGCGGCTCTTCCTACGGCCAGCCACACTCTCTTGCTTCCTGCCTGGGAGAGGCGGCGCGCAAAGCTACGGTGCGCCCTTCTCCCTCCTGCCTGCCCCGCTGCAGTAGCAGGACTGCTGAGGAAGCCCGCGCGGCAAGCAAGCCTCAAGCTGCCCAGTGCAGGGGGCAGGGAGGACAGGGAGGGGGAGGGCTGCCAAGAACGTTGGCCCCCACCCCTTCCGTGGAGGAAAAAGGTGGAGGAGGTGTTGGGTGTAGTGAAGGGTTAACCTTCTGTGTCTCGAGGCTGAGGGGAGGCGCTTACAAGGGAAGTAAGCCAGGATGTGACGAAAGCAGCTTGGAATGCTGTGAGCTGAGTGAAAAGTGAAAGCAGTTTTTGTTGCGTAGCTGCAAATAGAGGGAGAAGATGCAGCTTAAATCAGATGGAAGTTCTTGATTGTAAATATGCTACTTTTGAGCAAATAAAGTGATATTAGGACAGAAGAAATGTGTGGGACCTTTTTTACTGCCCTTTCAACACGACCGCTGTGCAACTTTGCTATCTGCTAATTGCTTTACGACCTGCAGAGGCTCGCAGGGGGAAGCGTGCTGGACGCCGAACAATAAAGCAATAAATCTACCTAACAGGAGGGATTCATTCGGATTTGGAGCGGTGGGAGGGGAAAGCTGGGAGGGCGCACTATCATTAGGACTCAGTTCGGAGGTAAGGATGGACTTGAGAGCATGCTCTCCATGCAGTTAGTTAGTGGTTAAAAACAAACAAACACCAACAAAAAGTCCTTTAAAGACGGGGGCGGGTTTTAAGGTCCTATTAGATTCAGCAGGGCTTACTCTCAGGTAAGTGCAGTTAGGGCTGCAGCCTTTGTGACCCAAGTCTTGGATCCTTTTTAGGTTCAGGGTGTCACTGCTTGACACACACGCACACACACACACACACACACACACCAATATTTGAAAACGTCAGCTTTGTACTTAAACACAAATTTGCCGGGAACTTCATTCTCTGTGTCTTCATCAATTTATTTAAAGAACAACAAACTGGTGATTGCTTTAACTTTTTGATATGTGGTGATTTGAATCATGAGGATGAATTAGAAGAACTGCTGAGTCTTGAATGAGTCTTGCTTTGGAATTGAAGACTTCATTAGATTTTCTTCTGCCTTTTCATTTCATTTTGTTCTAAGGGCTTGTTAGAGATAATATGTAAGTGTGGTGTCAGCTCCCTTAAAAAAAGTCAACCTCTCTGGGGCTCCCCTCATTAAAAAAGGCTGACAACTCTGAGAAAACGGGGGGCGGGGGCACCGGAGGGATCTTTGCACCACGGTGCCGGATATGCTTAAGAAGACCCCGCCTACCTAACATCTAAGCCTCTCTGTTCCTGGCTGCTTTCTGCAGTTAGTAAACAAACAAACCCCTGTGTTGCAAAATATGAGTCAGCAATATCAAAAACATGATGGCCAGAAACAATTACAATGTGAAAACTTTATGGAATAATTCAAAACATCAAAACTAACAAACTGAAGTCTCTGAAAGTCCTTAAATGAATCACGGTTACCGTCCCGTCAGTC